ATCCTTACACACATCCAGTGGGAAACAGGAGAACTTCATGTAAAGAATGAGATAAACATTTACTGCTGGTGGCAGTTACTGCAGTTCTTTCTCTCCCTTTCCTAGTTGCCTTGCATTAAGCCATGAGCAATGAACGAGTCACAGGCTCCCCTTGGTGTTTGTTGGGTATCAAGCTGGGATCTTCACATGGGTCTTCTGTGTCTTGCCTGTCCCAGGGAAACCTCATGAGGCATCATCAGAGTAGTCATGGGAAGCTGAGGACCTTCTTGCCAATGTCCTCCCTGGGGACTGGTTTCTAACAGGCATAAGGTGAAAGGATACTGCCACTTTATGCCTCCTCCAAGTCCTAACAACACGGAAGGGCCAATTGTCCTAGAGAGGACTTTTCCTGGGAACCTTTTCCAAAACCTCTGCAAAACCAGCCTGACAGAAAGACTCCCTCATTCTAAAGCCATTTCACGTGATCAGTTTAAAATCATAGACCCAAAGGACTGCAAGATGTAAAATGCAAAGAGGCTGTGCAACCACAACCGTTCAGATTAGATGCTGTCCTTTCTACCTCTTGATGTCGGGCTGTTTTGCAGATTCATTTAAGCGTCTTTGAGGAGGTAGGAGCCGAGTTCTAACCCAGCACTTGGACTCTTTTTTTAAAAAGGTGAGCCTAGGTGCTGCTTACAGGACTGTTTGTGCCTTTATAAGCAAAATACCAGCAGCACCAGCAACTGCCATACTCTCTAAACATTCCCTAGAAACAGCATTCAAGGTTGAAGTCAGGCTGGGAGACAAAAAATTTGGTGCCATATAAATATGTTCAGACCTTTTTAAAGGTTAGGCCATTCCAAGGACTCTGGTAAAATCTAGGTACTATTTCCTCCCCTCTCTGGATGACAACAGATTTGAGATTCCATCTGGCAGGACAGCCTCACACATGTGGATAACCCCGAATTGCAGTAGCCAAGATAACCCTGTCGTTGAAAATTTAGGAATCCAGAGAACTTTTTAGCCATTAAAACCTGTTCCATCCCTCAGACTTGAACATCGGAGTTACAGCTCTGTTCCATTTTAGACCTCAGGCTAACCTCTGAACCTGACCTAACTAATGCTCTCCAGGAAAGCAACAAGGGAGTGAGCTGGCATTCCCACATGCCACAAGTCTTCTTGGAGATTTATAAAAGACCAAGAATCCCAGTAGTCTGCCTGACATGTCAGCCTTGAGACTTTTGTTAGCCCAGGGAAAACAGAGCAAGAGATGAGAACCGCTAATTTAGGAGAAGCAGGTTGTTTGCAAAAAGCGTTGCACAAAGGTGCTTAAGCCTTAAAGCTGTCACAGAGGACTGCTGCAAATGCATCTGCAATCTCAGCCGGTGTTAAAGGATATTCATAGGATGCGTGTGCAGCTGCCTATTCCTGTATGGTGACGACAGAAAAAGTAAAGACACCATCAGAAAAGGTGTCAGCAGGGAGGGAAGAAAGCAGAGAGCTGCAGGAGAAGAGGCTGCCAAGCTGCCCATGAGCCACGAGGCTAGCAAACCAATGCTAGTAAAAAAGCAGTCTGGTCGGGCCGCTACAGACTGCAAGGTTAGGGGCATCCCAATGTTACTGCTGCTGTAGAGAAACAAAGGTCAGAATAACACATGAAGTGATACACAGCTGCCTGAACACCTTCCCTCCACAGTAGTCAATGAAATATAAAGCACATACAAACCAGCAGGACCCTTTCATCTGCTCCACACAGTTTAATCTAGCTCATACACAATCCAGCATTAGAGAAAGATTTGAATAGTAGCAATGCAGAGTTAAAAAAATACTATAATAGAGTCAGCTAAAACAATGCTAGAACCATTTTTTTTTTAAGAAAAAACTCAACTGTGGGTAGTTATGCCAAGCATATTATTTGTTTTCTTAGAAATAAGAGTGAAGTCCAAGCACAATATAGCTATTGGAAATAATCTGTCATGTAAGAGCCATTGCAGACATTAATTCCTCAGCCACAAGCAAATTCATCCTGAAATCAATTAGTAAAGCAATTTCTAGAGTTGAAGCCATCCATAAAAAATAGGGTATAAACAGCTTTATTAAGTCTCTAGCTAATCAAAAGATTTGAGTAACTATAGTCAGTACTAATAATTCTTGAGAACAGCTAAGACAAATCAGGCATCTCCTAGAAAGGAGCAGTAGACAAAAAAAGCACTAACTGAAGTTAACAATGCTAGTCCCAGCAGCCTGCTGCCTGTTGAGTTCTACAGAAAATTTTCATTAAGAGAAAGAAAATGTACAGTTTTTAATTGGACTAATAATTTTTAAACAGCTCCCAGAGATCTAACATAAATAAAAGAAAAGCCTAAATTCCAAATCCTCTTCTATACATAGAGCAGTCACTCCACCTAGCTCACCTCCACAGAAAATGAAATAAATATTCCCATACATATCAACGCCTGGCTCAGCAACCTCCTGAAAATTTGCCTCCAAAATCTACACAGCAGTGGCAAATGTGATCAGACTAAGAAACACAAAAGAATTGCAAGAGGCCTCTCCAGTGAACAGAGAAAAAGAAAAAACAACAACCAAACTTTGCTTTGAGAGGTTGTTCTCAGCTCTTCTCACATAGGCATAGGTGCTTCTGTTGCTAAGATCAGTCACAGAACCTCTTATGGAAAAAGCTGAACCAAGTGCTTCAGATGTCCTGGCTCAGGTATTGATGACCTGCCAGAGTGTGTCCAGAGAAGGGCAACAAAGCTGGTAACAGGACTGGAGCACAAGTCTGATGAGGAGCGGCTGAGGGACCTGGGGGTGTTGAGCCTGGAGAAGAGGAGGCTGAGGGGAGACCTGATCACTCTCTACAACTACCTGAAAGGAGGTTGTAGCCAGGTGGGGGTCAGTCTCTTCTCCCAAGTAACTAGTGAAAGGACAAGAGGAAATGGTCTCAAGTTGCATCAAGGGAGGTTTAGATTGTATATTGGGAAAAAGTTCTCCACTGAAAGAGTGGTCAGGTGTTGGAACAGGCTGCCCAGAGAGGTGGTGGAGTCACCATCCCTGTGTTCAAAAAACGTGTAGACATGGCACTTAGGGACATCGTTTAGTAGACATGGTGGTGTTGGGCTGACAGTTGGATTTGATGATCTTAGAGGTCTTTTCCAGCCTTAAAGATTCTATGATTCTATGACTCCAGAATGACTTACCTGTTAATCACTCTCCATGAACAATTAGCAAAGCTGCACTCGGGGAATGTGGAGGGGAGAGATTTGCCTTCTCAGCAGTGGACATTATTTGTAGCAGAGGTCAGACCCATGCTGCGATACACACTGGAACATCCTAGCTGCTGGAGCATAATGTTTACCACCTACTTCCTTCTTCTGATGACTTTTATTGAAACCAAACCACCCCCTCACATACTACTGGGGTCCAGAGCAGACAGAAACAGGAGTACAGAGGGTGGTCACTATAGGAGATGGTGACACCTCTCAGCCCAGGGAGGACATCCAAAGCTGTAGGGTTGGAAAACCTGCTACTGAGCTTTCAAACGGCTGCAGTGCTGTATGGAAAGCAAGAGCCAGGCAAAGCACAATGGGCTAAAATGTGCTACCAAAGCAGGTTTGTTTGCTTGCTTCCACTCTCAAACTGCCAGATCTACTCTGCAGCAGAGCCTGGGCTTTTCTCTCCCTGCTCCATTCAATGCTGTTGTGAGCTTAAAATAAGTATTGTCATTTTTTCAACCCCTCTGCAATGTTGACACCTCTTCTTCCCATACCTGCAACTGCAGATTGTTGTCTCTGTACAAACAAGGGTGTGGTTGTCAGAGAGGGAGGGCAAATGTCCCCCCTCCAAACTCCTAGGCAGCCTGTGCATGGAGCCAGCCAGCAACCTGGCAGGCACCAGTAAATATTGGGAAGGGCTTTATGCTCCAGAGGGGAACTCCAGCAACATGGGCCTTCACCACAAGCTGAAAAAACCAAAAGTTTACAACATGTCCAAATAAGATAAGCCCCTAAAATTTCCAGCTGCTGGAAATTTGCTCTGTGCTTTGTCCATGCCAGATATCTCCGGTCTCCAATGACAGATGCATTCCCCAGCACTGCAGACTGACTCATTTTTTTGTAGATCACGTTTGCCAGGGCTACAGAAATACCACCACTCTGAGGGTGAGATCTGTTTGCCAAACACTCTCCCCTCACTCCCCCTTCAACAGAAAGCGTGTGTTTTAATTTGGAAGATGGAAGGAGTTCAAACAGGAAACAAACCCTTGATTGCAGTTGATTTTACAGTTCTC